TATCGAAATGAAGAGGTTTTCCAAAGCAAAGAAAATAAACATTGTGTCAAAAAGTGACAGGATTATAGTAGTTGACAAATAGCTTAAAGTACATAACAAGAAGATACTTTGTATATATGTTGATATAGGCTATTTTAAATGACTATTGTTTTCTTTTCTCTCGCTTGAGAGATGAAAACGAGAAAATATGATTTTCATAATAATAATATTAATAAAAGTAATAAAGAGAATAATATTCATGATGATAATAAAAATAATACCTATATGTTTAAAATGTTATATTTTAAATTAGCAATAATGAACAACTGCGGACTCACCATACGATGATGACGTGTGTATAGGGAAATACTGGACTTAATTTTTAAAATTTTATTAAATAAATAGAAGAAAGACATTATATTTTGTCAGACATAGCCTACCTATGGCTTGGCTTTCTGTGTCGGAGACTGACCGACGACGTCTTTGATACACATTTATATCTTTGCTCTGACGCGATGCAGAATCCTGTCTAGGCCCAGTCTCTACAGCCTCAAGTTCTTGAACTCTTCCCTACAATTAAATAGACGAGAAATATAAGCAATGATTCAGCTGTAGGCCATAAACAACCACTGTAATGTATGCACATTAAACAAATTCTTTGAAGATAATGGTTTATATTCAAAAACAACATCATTATTATGTTATCTGCAGATATTATTCTCCTTAAGACTCAATCGAAACGTCCATACATTTTCAAAAAATGACAGTTCTTTTCAAAACTATCTACTATCAAGCATTAAATATTATATAATATAATATTATGTAACTATTATACCGTTATAATACATTGAAAGTGCACGCATTAAAACAATAGTTCTACAAGTTGTGGATCATGCATTCATAAGTAATGACAGAGTATATCATAGACTACTTAGATCAAAATCAAATGACGATTAAATGATAATTATTATTCAAATAATCATATTAAATATAAATAAAAATGATAAATAAGAACGGTTACTTGAGTGTAATTGTCATGTTTCAATACCTAAAAATATTTTTGTTCGTATTTTGCGTATTCTGAGGCAAATACATACAGGTCTACTAATATGATACCTTTAGATCTTTGACGCTATTTTCCAAGTCAGCAATGCGGTTCGAAAGTTCTATGTAACGATTGTATACAGCGTAGAATTGTATCCCAGCCAAGCCACACGCCACAAGCACAAACAAAGCAGTTGCAACACCAGTGGATAACTTCATAGAAGACGTTTTAGAAGTTTCGTCGTTGATCTTGCTATCAAATGCCTTCATTTTAATAACGTAGGGAAATTTGCCTAGGAGATTGGTTCCGATGTACTAGAAAGGCGGTTTGAAACAAACTTACGTATCATTCCGAGTGAAAACACTGTGGTATCCTGGAACATACAGGAAATACCAAACTTACACCGAAAGAGCCAATCAGAAGCGATGTATCACTACTTTTGTGCAATAGCTTTCTTAAAGTTGCTACAAATGGATCTACTCCATAGAGAAAATTTTGGGGAAAATCG